TCCTGGGTGGGTGGGTGGGGTCAAAAACAAGCAAAAAACGGTTCATTTTGTTTGTGAAAACGGGCCTGTTTTTCATTAAAAAAAGGGCATGGATAGCCTCTAGGAAGCTTATAGAGTGCTCCTGGGGGCTGGGGTGGGAGGTAAAATTGAGCGCTTATTTCTGCCCTCCCCAGCCCCCAGGAGCTCTCTAAAAGCTTCCTAGAGGCTATGCAGGGCCATTTTGGTGAAGGGGGCGGGGCTTTAGGAGGCAAAAAATGCTGTATTCAGTGTATAAAACACACCCAGATTTTTTAGCCTTTTTTGTGAGGGAAAAAGGTGCGTCTTACACTCCAAAAAATATGGTACATGCCAGTTGCCAGGCAATGGAATTTTGATCACATGACTATGGGGATCCTGCAGTGAATGTAAGTGTGAAGTCTGGTTGTAAATAATTTTTTTCAGTGGCGTTGAAACTTCAAACTGTCACTAATGAAATGGTTGTAAATTGAAGATTACCTGTCCCCGCTCTGTATCAATAAAACTCAGATGAAGCTCTCACAAAATTCAGTGATAAAGTGACACAAACATTCAGAAAAGCTGAAAGGACAAATACTTCATAATCCTCTATAGCTGCATTTAGGAAAACTAATATTTATTTGCCTACTCATTCGATTCTAGGTAGTCTCTATACCTTTGGAGCTTGTTCCTTCCATCTTGCCCATTCTATCAGCCATTTATTCCGTCACTTTTGGCCAACTCACTGTTGTGTTTTGGCCAACTCACTGTTGTGTTTTGCTCTTCAAAGCTGACTAGGGTAAAACCAAACCTTGTCCGTTTTATATTCGTGCCGTTAGAAACATCATTTAGAATAGTTCTGCTCAGAACAAGCTGCACCAACTTTGTGCTTGATAATTCTGCTTAGCATAAAACAGCAGAAGGCACATCAGATGTTTTAAAAGTTTCATGTATTCACTCAAACCCAAACCCATTGGGTTGGTACAAACCACGGAAAAGAGCACAGTGTAATTGGCTTAGTAAAAACGATTTTTTAAAATATCCCCATAAAATGAAGCAGTGAAAGTGATTTTCTCAGCTTGTATGATCTCTAAAGAGGGATTGGGTCACTTAAATATTCTGTACATCTGTTCAAGCTAAATATGTACCAGTAATAAGAGAAGGAGTAGTTCTGTAAGCAGCAAAAGAATTTCCCTATGTGGCATGAAGTCCGCATTTCTAACCCTTCCTTCAGAAGAGTCAGATATTTTAATCCATAGGATTTTTTCCCTGCATTTTCTTTTTGTCAAATGCAATTCCATTTAATTAATTATAAGTGAATTTAACCCTTTAATCCATAGGACACCTTGCTATATTTTGTTCTCATCTGTCAAATGAAATAATGCAATATAATAAAAACAACGTAGGTCCCTGGGAAGGACTTGAAAGGTGGATAAAAATGCCAAATCCAGTCTAAAATTTGTGCGATGAATTACAAGCATGCTGAAAATTTAAATCAGTTGATGCCTCCCCTCCTCAAAGGAACATAAAATATAATTTACATGAAGCAAACCAAAAGATATTTGATGTGTTACATATAATTCCAACTATTCAATAAAGTTAAAGCCTAGTCCAGATTGATACGTGCAGGAAAAATAGAACTGTAATAATATAAGCAATATTTCTAGTGATTAATTATGTGCCAATCAAGTCAAAATCAACTCTTACAAACCTACATAAATAAGACTTTTTCCATGATGACCCTAATTTGGTCCTTCAGGTCTTCCAAAGTTGCACTGTCACTTCCGTCCGTCCACCATCCAACCTCCACAGGTTGATCTGTTTTTCCCCTTTTTTCCCACCATTCTAATTATTATAGACTTCTCAATAGAGCTAGGTTTTTGCATAAGGTCCAAGGTATGACCACTGAGTCTTGAGTGAGAACCCTGGCTTGATTTCTTGGATAATCCACTTACTTGTTTTCTTGGCTATCCATTGTCTTCTTAGAAGTCGTCTTCAATATTAAAAGTTAAAATTATCAATACTCTTTCTATCCTATTCTGTTACGTATTTTTGACTGCTAGTTCTTTTATTGTTGGTATTTGTTCCTAAAGGAGGAAGCTACCCATACTGAAATATCTTCATTGTCAATTCA